TCCTCCAATTTCAAAACCAGTGAAAGAGAGAAACACTCTGGGTGTCTTTCATATTTCTTAACCTTTTTAAAATTCAAATTCTGTGAATCTATTTGTTTCAAAAAACTAACAAACAGGTGCGTACTTGGCGAACTTTTTTCTGAAAACGACGCAGTTGTTGTCGTTTTTTAAAAAATATAACACTATTCACTGCAATTAACTAATCTGGTTCAGATAAAAATTACGAAACGCTCTGGAAAAATTCCTTTATTTTAGGTAAAAATGCCGTAATTGTTCCGTAAAATTTCCTACAACCACATATCGCCCTGGAATCACGGAAAAGATACATAATTTTTATGAAATATTCCTCCGCGTGCATAAAATCCCCAATTCCATGTAAAAGTATCCCAACACATGTTGCAATTTTTTTTTCGTGTCAATGGAGATATAAGTACACCTAAAGGGGAAGTGAGCACGCGTCAAATATACCCACGCGCAGATAGCAACAGCGTAAACTCTCGCCTTTGACGCAGCGCAGAACACCTAATCCAGATAAACACTATTTTATTTTTAGTCTGAGCTCTCATCCACCTCGATCCCCCCAACTCCCTTGCAATTAATAAAATGGATTGAATCAACTCATCTGGGTAATCCAATCATTACGTAAATCATGGAAGGATGTGGGGATAAACAGCCGCAGAGTGCCATCGGAGGGGGCAGAAGTCAAAATAATAGACTGAATCACCCCCCGGTCTATTCTCTTATGAGGGGGGCGGCGGGACCGGGTGTGGGGGAATATTATCTGCCCCCGGCTTCCATTACGGGTCAATCGGTTGAACCAACACCCGAATGCTCTCGACAGAGCTCGACAAGTCTATCTAAACGAGCATCTAGCCTCGGCAATCTGTCCGGCGATTAAAGTGTCATCTTGACCAGCGCCAGGCGGACACAGTCTAGGACTATACTAGACCACCGCGAAACGAGTCATTGATTTTCTGCGGAGAATCATTAAAATGTCGTTAAGGGCGGTCGAGTAAAAAAATTATGATTCGTTATTTAAAACGGCATCATCAAGACACAAGTGGACAATTGCTTTTTTTATAAGCGAGTGTAATTGTTGTTGCCAATAAATTAGCAATTTGCTTCCGGATTTCCTTCCTTCCCTTTTTTAGTTCTTATTTCACTATTCTCTTCTTATATTTCTTCATGTCGAAGTACTGTAATCAATTGAAATGTCATCAAAATTTTGCGCATTATTTCGTTCTGTCAAATAATTCTGCATTCAGACCCTCTCAAGACGAATTCGTTTTCAGGCCGGGTTTAATCAGGGTATAGTCGGGATTTAATCAGGGTTATTCAGGGTTAACAATAATAAAATAGGTCAAAATTAGAACATTAAAATTGATGATACACCGTTGAAAAATTGCTCTGGAAATTTCAAGTGAAAAACGTTGAAATTTTTAACAACGACAAAATAACATGAAATTTCTGTATATTCCTTCATTGACGAATCAGTTAATTTCTTGAATATTCAAGTAATTCTCGATGTTCAAGTCCATACGGCACTGAAAAACCTTGATAATTTTGAAAATTCAGGCAACTGGTAAATATGAGGAGAGGTGTATCAACTAAGCTGTTCTTTCTCAATAAATAATAATAATAAATAAATAATGGTAATAACAACTTTTCTGCATTTTCCATCTATAGAAAATTAAATTGTATGTGATGTTCAATTTTCGCGATGAGTTTGGAAATTCAAGGTTTCATTGCAAAATCATTGATTGTTTAACATGAAAAATCGTCGTGAATTGTCGTGAATTCTTAAAATAAATGAGAAATTTAATGAATGCTTTCATTTGAAATTGAATTCAACCTCACAACATCGAAAATTCAGATGATAATGTGACTGAAATTTCAAGGAATTTCTAACAGTGCACTTGAATAATTAAAAATCAGGACCGGTCGCGCGCTTCGCGCGCTCCCTCTTTAGGGTATGACCGGTAGGGGTTGGTGGAATTGGATGTGACCCATTACGGGTCGCACCAATAACTTCCCGACCATTTGTTTTTTCTTTCATTAATTTTTTTATTATGTATTTATTCAATCTTTTTCTCACATTTCTCCGAGGAAATACCCATAGAAGACAAGAAAATCCGTGCGCGTGCTCGCACTCACACACACTCCCATGCACACACATCGCCGTATTCCGCATCGAGAAAAGATGTAATTTATCAGAAAAGTAAAATTGTTTCTTGAATGTATATCGATTTCGAAAAAAGCTAGTGAACTGCTGATTAAATGTCTTCCAGTATTCCATGATTTGTGCGTTATATCAAGATTCATCGTTTCTAACAAAAAAAACTTGAAATCGCATCGTTATGCACGGAGAAATGGTCTCGTTTACAAAAAAACGCTAATTTTCGACTTTTTTCCAAATGTTTTTTGGAAAAAACTGGAGAAACGCTGAGACGATCGTCTCCATAATCTAATCAGGTTCAAGTTACATGAAAATACAGCGATTAAAAAAAAAAAAGTCAAATCGCATCGTTTGTTCAGGAGGAATCGTGGCACAAAATTTTTGTCACAGACGTACGCACACACATACACACATCCACACATACAGACAGGTACCTGAAAAGGGTCAGAAGTGGTTCCAAAGGTCATGAACCGTGGAGAAATGCTTAAATTTCCACATTGGATTTTCGGGGTCATTACAATAACTTCCTCCCTTCGGGTCGGGAAGTTAAAAAATTACAATGATGTTAATTAATTGACGGCTTCAATCCTCAACGGTAATGATAATTTATGGATTTGGCTATCCGTGAATCGATCATCATTAACACTAAAGATTCTTTTTGAAAAGAACGAAAAATGAATCAAAGCGTTCGCTCACCTTTCGCAGAATTTCCAATTGCGAATGAATTTTTCATTGAGTTTTTCTGTTTTTTCTTTTCTCATTCGTTTCACCTCCCGGGTAAACAGAGGATCTCTGGCCCCGAGTGTTTATACGCACGGCTCTGTGCTCCACTCTCTACCCCATACGGCGTAATGAATGGGTAACAGTGACACGGCGCCCCGACTGACGCTCCTCCGTGGAGCTTAAACCCTGTCAATCGGATCTAGATTTAATTTGCAACCGGGGAAAGGAGGGATTAGCAGAGTCCTTGGCACGTCATTGACATCGTGTGTGTGGGAATTTCTTGCACGTTACAAATGATGTGGAGGAGAGGTTTTTGCGTCGTCAGGGCAATTTAATAAATAAAGCTCCCATCTATTTCATTTAGTTGCTGTTGTATTAAAAAATAAGTTGAAAAAGAATTCAGTAGCGAAGTGGTCAAACGGTTGAAAAATTGGGGTAGCAAAATTTTTCTGATGAACAAAGACTGAGAAAAAATTGGTTCTGCCGAAAAATCATGTTTCCCTGAAAAAATCTTTTGTCGTGTTGAATCAATCTACTTGTGGACAAAAAAGAAAGTTTCCATAAAACATGATGATTTTTGTAGTAGTAATTGTTCTCGTGAGACATTTATACGTCTTTCGGGTAAATGCATTCGTTCTACAGAGAATTATATGAGTCTCCGGTTTTATCAAGTGAATATTATTGAGTATTGTATATCTTTGTCCAATAAACACTTATAATTTCCATGGAACAAATGATAATTTCAAGAGGAAACTACAATTTTCTCGCCGAAAACTGCGTTATTGGCAAAACTAAATAATTTCGAGGGGACAATTTTTTTGGGAAAAAAATATTCCTTCCTCGTTAATGTATTCTTTCTAAGGAATAAACCTATGGAGTTCTCTCAGATCAAATGATTATCGAACAATAGATTATATTTTTTCCTGCCGACAGTTCGAATTCTCCTAGGGATATTTCTCATGATCACCACAAGAATTTAATTTTTGTGAAAGATATTAAATTTTCTTCTATCAAGTTGGTGAATTTCCCTCAAGTAAATCTGTTCCATTCCATCAAATATTCTCACGTGGGGCATATGATTTTTTGGCCGAGGTGCAAAATGTTTGACCCTAATTTCGTTAGAATTCTCGAGTGAGAAGAAGATAGAAAATGTCAAAAAAATTTCGCCAAAACGTAAAATCAAAGAAAAAAATTATGTCTTGCGCTGAGAGAAACAATTAGTTCTGTCGAAAAATTACATGTTCCCCTGAAGATAACTTTTGTCTTATTTAACTTTTGTGATATTTTTTCCTGCCAACAGTTCGAATTCTCCTAGTGATATTTCTGATGATCACGACAAAAATTCCATTTTTGTGAAAGACATTAAATATCCCTCCTAATGTTTACTCTCAGCATGGGCCAAAACCTAATAGAAAGCTCAATAACAGAAATCCAATAGAATTGTCTACAAAAATCCCTCGGCTTTTCTGTTAAATTTTTTCGTGCGTGAATGCCCGGCCGTCATCCCCTTCGCGAACTACGTCTCTCGAATTCGAGAATTTCCCGGCAGCTCGTGTATTAGGTCTCGTGTCAATCGTTCAGTCTCTGTTCTCACCTCTCTCGCATCCCTCGTGGATCTTCTAAGTGTCTTCATCGTGTATGGGCGACTCGATGTCTCAATGAAAATGGAGACAAATCGCCGGTAGTCCGTCGTGATTGCACGCGGGGGTCCTGAACTACTGTCGATCCCCTCTCTCCGCCCACCCCCACAGCTTTTTCCTCATTCTC